GCGACCCCTAGGGGGTCCATGGAGGTACAGGTTACTTTCATGACATGACTCCATCTGTAATAAAGCGGCTATAGGACCAGTTTGATATAACACAATTTCACCCTATATATATAATAAGTGGGTCCCCGCTCCAGTTTGGGGGTCCTTGGCCTGGAAAACATTGAAGACCCCTGCTCTAAACCTTCCCAAAACAGCTTCGCCTATAAAGCGACTAATTTACAGATCCTGTTAACTAATTGGCCTCTGAAGGCGAGTGAGTGAATTGATTTATACTTTCTGAATCGATTTATTTCAGATTATTCACCAGAAACAAAACTTCTGAAACACATCCTTTGTTTTAGTTTTGCAGTTATTCAATACTTTGTGTTAGTTAAAGGTACAACATGGGATAATGTTCTATGTAATATAGAGAAATGATCTTCCAAAGGAAAATAAGTACCCCTATAAAGCCCATTATTCCATTCTTAAACGGGAGGAACAGATCTGTTTAGTTTACTTAAAGTCTTTTTGGCAGTTTATTTTATTCAGCTAATCCAATGAAGTGAAAATTTTCCTTATTTGAAGAAAACTTTTATTGACTTTTTGTTGACTTTTTCAGTGTAAACCATCCAACTTTTACTGGAGTTAAACTCCATACAGTTTTTGACCAGTAAGTTAAACCAACACACATTGTTTTTTCCTACTTTCTGTAGCGGCTCTCAGGCAAACCTCCCTAAATAACAGGCTGGTAGATATAAAACAGCTCAGTCATGCAAAAGAGGAGCCGAGTGAAGGAGGATGTGTCAGTTAGATCCTATAAGAGCTGCTCGCCACAAACAATCTATTTTCAGTTACTGGAGATCCACATTTCCATACCAGCGTTTTTCGTCATGCAGAAGAAAGCTTTTGATCGAGGACACAGGCTCACAGAGAGCAGCAATGAAGAAGAAACGTTAAAACGGACAATTCTTCTAAACAGTTACTTCTTGAAAATATGAATTAATTCATTCTTAATTCATTGAAACACTAGAGTTCAGGATTTTCTGTTTCTTTTAGTGTCCATGATGTTCTGAGAGTCTCTGAAATGGAAGCGGAGCTTTACTGCCACCCAGAGGCCGTTATGGGAGCAGGCAGAGTCCGACAGCAGAGGCTGGGGGCCGGATGTTACCCAACGAGGAGCCCCACCGAGTGCTAAGAATAGCCAGTCCCTCTGCAACGTCAGCATCAAGCATGTCCCCGACTCTGCTCCCCCCTAACTGATTCCTCACATTACTTCACCAAATCACCTGGACAAGAGAAACACAATTTGGTTTGATTCAATTTAAAGCAAGGTCCTAAAAAAACTTTACTACAAACTCGTTTTACTGAGATATTATGTATTAGACTAAAAGAAAAGCATCATTGTAAAGTGGAAGTCCATTATAGTCTGTTGTTTTTACAAATAATATATATATATATTTATATGTGTGTGTGTGATTTTTAAAAAATCTTAAATAGGAGGCTGAGTTTTACATTTTTTCAATTCTAGATGGATTCTAACATTAATTCCTAAAGTCTGAATAATATAACCAAAGTGAAAAATATAATTTTCCACTTTATCATTAACCACCATTGCTTTATTCATTTGCTAATATTAACATGTTGGATCATAACTACATAGTCATGTAATTCAGGCAAAAATGGTTTTATAACCAGAAATTCAATTCAGTTTGGAAAAGAATCTAATGTAAATACTGAGAATTAGAATTGAATCAATTCTAAACCCCGGCTTTCCTTTAAATCAGTGTTTTCCAACCTTTTCTCACTTGTGTTCTCTCACCATGACATCCCCTCTC